CAAGCTGCAGGTGCAGCCCAATGCACTGCCCTGCGCCCTACTTTGAGGCGGCACACGGCAGTACATAGGCATGGCACCGTTTGGCCCTATGGTCTAAGTGCATGTTTAATTAGACAGAGGCCTGTTGCATGGCCCTCCCTGTGCTGATGTGGCTGTATCTGTCACAGGGGCTGCTCACGTTGCTGCCAAGTCCCTGGTGTTGCCTGGTGCCTTTGACTGAAGGCAGAAAAGGGGCGCGGGGCTGTGTTCCTCCCTGCCTGGCTACTGCTGTGCAAGAGGGAGCCTTGCCTGCCATTTGCAGACCTTTCGTTGCTGCGAAACAAAATTATGCCACGTCCTGTCCTTTTATAACGATTTTAAAGGATTTTCCAGTAGTTTGTGAGTGGCAACTCCTGCTCTTTAAATAGCAGCTTGCCTCTGAATGTGTTTTTGAATAGGACGGATGCCACCTACTTTCATCCTTCTGAAAACTGGATGTCTGGTTTGCACTTGTCATTCAGGCTCCCTGCCATTGCCCATGACACACACATTGTGGGAGCCATCCCTGTGCAGCGTATGATCGTGATCTGCTGCTATCCCGCAAGGTGCAGCTCAAGGGTCTGTGTGTGGGTGCTGAACATTTGGGATGCCCAAATAGCACCCGAGGGGGAGCACAGACAGGTAAAACCCATGCAGAAAGGGTGGTGTTATCCTATCCAGGATCTTACCCCAGAATCCCAAAAAAGATTAAAGAATCAGCAAAATAATGTGTGTTGGTGAGATGGTGCTGGTGGCAGCCCTGAGCAGACAGTAAATGGGAAGGGCTGTGCTGGCACAGAACCCCCTGCATCAGCCTGCTCCAAAGCCCCTGAGCACAATTACTCATTTTAAGACAATAATCTGTAGTTTGGACAAATACTGTGCATCTGAGGAGTTTCTTGGAAGTCCTGGTCCTGAAGGGCACGCTTTTGTGTTACTGTGAAATCAGTTGTTTAGGCTTCAAAAACACATTCCTAAACAGTGATATTGGGGATGAATGCATCAATTTAAAGATGCTCTACAATGACATAGGTCATCAATTCTAAGAAATGGTGCCCCATAACAAGTCTCTCCTCTTCCACTGCCACTTCCTGGGTACTGTGGAGCCATCCTGGTCTCATGCCGTCCGCAGTCCCTCCATACCTGTCACTCCCACCTCTGCAAGTGGGTTTCTTGGGCAAGCTCTGGGCTCCTCTCTCTCTCCCACCTCAAAAGAGCTCTACCACTTCCATACTGTTTAATGGACCTGAATTCTTTTTTCTTCCTTGTTATGAAAAAGTCAGGCCAGCTTTTATCTGTCTTTGCCTCGAATGGAGGCAGCGTTGGGGAGGAAAAGACTTATCAAGCCAGTGACTGTGTTTACCCCATGCTGCTTGTTTCTCTCGTCTTGGAGAGACGTACGAATGAAAAATTGAGAGATCAGAATAATAATGATAAAGGCTGGATAGAGGGTGGCATTAGCAACAAAATGGGAATGAACATTTTGTTCTTATCACAAGATCTATTTTTAAAGGCTCATTGTATGTTTCATGTCATAAAATCACTTGTGGGTTTATTTTTCCTCAAAAAAAAAAAAAAAGGCAACCCATGCCTACTGAACAAAGCACTAAAATAGACCACTCCAACCACTTCAGACAGGATGTATGGAAATAATCAGCATTAGTCTGATGTAAGAATGAAAAAGTGAACAGAAGCAACTATTTGGTGACGCAGAATAGAGAGAGAGAATAGCAGAATTTTGCTCAAGTAGATTGAAAGAGCTGCTACCATTGGAAGGGATCATTAGTGATGATAGAAGCGGTAAATTTGTTTGACCTAGTAACTGCTTTTATTGGTGGCCATCCCTTTGAGTACAAATACCCAGCTTAGTATTTCCAGTAACTCTCCTGGGAACAAAATAAACGTGTTTAGATCTCCCTGGCAGGAGGAGATGATGTTTGTGATGCAGATGCAGAGAACAGGGCAGATGCCATTAAGTGCTTTAAAAAAAATCTCTGGCAGGAGCATCTCAAAATTATTGTGATGGTTCTGTATGCAGCTATAATTAAAGATCTGTCTAGGTTTCAGTTAGTTTCTTGTTTTCCTGACTTATAATACTGTGTTATCAGTTGGAACATTCTGTCTTAAGCAGGAAGCTCACCCGTAAGGGCCCTGACAGTATACATACTGCTCTGGGGGGTTGTTTTCTTGCTGGTGTTGTAACCAAGATGTGATTTAAAAAGTGTATGGGGAACCTAGGCATCCAGATCCTACTGAACTTTGCTTTGGCATGAACATGTCTTCAAAGCACCTCATAGGGCAAAATGTGCTTCATATTCAAAGATTAGGGGTCAACTTTAAACAATTTCAGATCATTTAACTTCTATTTTAGATTTTAATATTTGAAAATTGACATTTTCCTACTCCACTATAATCTCCTCCCAAAGTCATCCCCTCTGCCCTTCTTTTCCCCGCTAGGACCAGTTACTTTCAAGCTAGTAATTTTTAAGATTTTTTTTTAATAAGAAAAAGCAGATTTTTTTATTATTGTTAAGTGTTTAATCTCTGTTAATGGCAGGTGAAGGGTAGGTTGATACTGGCCTTGCAGCGGGCAAGTCCTGTTGATGACCAGACATTCATTTTAAAAATGGTTTAGTAAATTGTGTCAATGTGACTGTGAAGGAGCAGTTAAGCTCCACACCTAAGTTCCACAGTAGGTTCTCTGCCCTTCACTTCTTTTGGTGTGACTCTCTTGCACCATCTTTGCCTCTGATTTTACCTGGCCATGGGGGCCTCGGGGATTATTGTCAAGCACTAGTACAGTAAGAGAGAGGTAGCGGGACTCCGGCTTTTTTTCTGTCCTGTTGGGTAGGCTTTTGTAAAAAACATTTTATTTTGACAGAGCTAATCAACACAAGAACTGAGAAATATATCTTTATTATTAGAATATTTATATTCTAAAAATGTTTCTCTGGGGTTATAGTACAATCCATTTTTTTTTTTTATCATCAACTAACCTGGCATTTGTTCAGCAAATAACCATTAGCTTAGGATCTGAAAAGTTGAAGAACATGCAAAATCTTTTATACTTTTTTTAATCTTCTGCTTGACACCTTGGAGTCAAGATTTTAACATGATAAATAACAAAATAAATCCCATTCGTGAACTAGTAGTTGCACTTAACTTTGGTGAATAACAGTGCAGATAGGTATTTAAAAATACAAAAGAATCCTTTCAGTGTCAAGTGAATGATGAAACAGATTAATGTATTTTACTTTATTTCTTTCTAAAGTTCATCATTACCTTCAAAAAGAGTCACTTTTCATTTTTTAAAAGGATGAGGGAAACGATAAAAAAAAATAGTGTTTATATTATGTGGCTTACCTAAAAAGTTCTCCATAACAGACTATCTGATCAAAATAACCATGCAACACAGCTAATAAATCCTTTTCACCAGCACACAATGCCTAGCATAAGGCTGAATCTGGCCTTATGAGATAGCCAAAAAAATACTGAAATGTAATTGCAACATAAATACCTGAATTGGTTTTACAGTGTGACCTTCTCTTGAAACGGTGTTGAGAAACTGTACACATGTTAACTGATTGTCCCGAAAACACTCTTTAAATAAAAGTCACTAATAGTGGTTTCATTCTCTGCCCTCTACTTTCTGGGGACTCAACACACTGAAAAATGTACAATATCTGTAATTACTTGATCTTAGCTGGCTGCCTGGTCATCATCTGCTTTAAAAATATTGCAACTCACATGCTTATTGCAGCAGTAATCATAGTGATTCACTGTCTTTAAATACTCAATTCTACTTACAGTGATAGTTATATATATAAAAAAATTCACAAATCTTTATACACATACTGTAAAAATCACCTTCCACTAAAACAATTTACATCTGCTATGAGCATTTAAAAAATAAATTACACAGACTTGTTTCACCTATTCTTTCTGTTTCTTAAGAAAACTAATCTCATCACTATCAACAGGATGTTCATATTTGTAAACATGGCAGAGGGATTCATGTTACCAAAAAACAGTATGCCCCAAAAAATTGCCTTGATAAAAACTCTGATGAACGAGGATCCTTTTAATTGGCACAAAGCAATATAAATGCATGTATGCCCGTGCAAAACAACTGTCTTGTGATCTTCTCTAACTCTCCTACAGGGATGTATGAATTCATCATAGAGATAAAAATTTGATGGGCTTATATTATGATTGTAGCCAATTTAGGCCTTTCATGCCTTAAAGTAAGTGCCAAGTGTTGAACTTGTTACTTTACCTCTTCACTTGCTACTGTTAAAAACCTTTGGCTGCGATCTAGTAGAGAAATGCTTCCTCTGCCTCAAAGAGCTGGTGGGTGCTGAGGTGCCAGGACCTTGGTCTTGGTGCTTGCGGGCACCACAGGATGGTACCTACAGCAAAACCAAAAAGCTGCTGGGGTGCAACAGCTGTGCTTCAAACAGCAGAGCAGCTCCAACTTGCACTAACAGAGAATGCAGCTGTTGGCAAGATCGAGCTGCTCAACATATGTAATAAAGTGTGGAAATGTGCTCGATTGGGCTTCTAGCAGAAAGCTCATTATAGCAGTCTTCTGCTATAAACAGCCTTCATGTCAACTCAAGTGCACTTCTTTTTTTTTTTTGCATCTAAATCTGTTTGTGCATGTGACAGTTAATCATTGCCCGAATACCTACCTATTCACAAAGACTGAAGAGTTGGGTGCTGATTAAATGGATTCTTCCAAATTTCAGCAATGGCATAGATGGAAAATAAATAACCAAGCCACATGCTGCCACTAAAATAATAAAAAAATAGCCACAGTACTGCCCAGCAAGATAACTGCAGTTATTTAAAATAAGCTCTATAAATAAATAGATAGAAAAACCTCAATGCAAACTGAAAAACAAAGACACTTCTCTTATAACGCCCAAAGTGGGAATGGAGTTACTAAATAGTATATAAGTATTCCATACTATATATATTTCTATATAATATATTTGATATGTTTTGGTGTGGCCAGATGGATAGGAAAAAAACACAATGATTAACTTCAGTCAGTATTTGCTCTGTTGAAGCCAACCTCCCGTGTTATTATATATGTCATTAACTGTCCCTATAGTGGTTTGGCCTTTTTACCCATCTTAGATTTTGCAATCACCTTTCTGGCAGAGCAGACTAGTTCAGCTTTCTTTTGTGGTCTCCATAGTTCTCTTGGGCAGTCAACAGGTTCATAGAAGTATTTGACTGGCTGGATGCTGTTTTTTTCATCCTTTACTTTTTTCAACAAGATTCTTCCTTTCTGGAAGGAATGAGGCTTTGTGTCAGGGATGTTATATGAAGTGTTTTGACTTCCTCGGCTCCTGAAATTAAGAATAATGATTATTTGTAATTACTGTTGAGTCTTGAAAAGTGAAAGGTGTCAAAAATGTCCCAAACCCTTAGATTTTTTGAAGAGAGAAATAGCCTTTTTTTTTTTAAAAACAGAACCAGGTTGAAAGGTTAATAACTAATATTAGCAAGATGGACTGTATTTCTCAAAACTCAAAAGCATCCCTCACTAAAAGAACCCTTACATGTGTTACTGCTGAA